AATAGAACCGTCCATTTCCTTGATGTTGAACTTTTTTGCACAGGTTTCATGGATTACAGCTTGCCTCATTCTCCATATACGACCTTTTAACCCTCACTTCCTTTTTCCAGTAAGGAGTTGAGTATAAGATTATTATGGGGGGGAATTGAGACAGGCTTCGGAACTAAAGAAACAAAACAAGGGGTCAGGATATACTTCGCTGGTTGGCATTACTGGATATGTTTATTCGGGTAAGTTTGAAGGATTCTTGTCTACAGATACTTCAAGAGAGCGTGTTAATCATATTTCAACTGATGAAAAATCTCAAGTTTTAAAGTAGCATAGTATGTGTGAATATGTGGACCCCACCTGTGTGATTATACTTGAGTTTGTTGTTGTTGTTGTTGTTATGTCTGAATACGTAATGTCCTGCTAATAGGTAAGGTTTCAAGTTTTTAATTTCTTCTAGGCCATATTCTCATAATGTTACAAATGCACAGCCATGCAATCATTACATTTGCAGAAGATACTGCAGAAGTAAACTGCTAGAATCAGCTAAGCATAAATACTTCATATTACACATAATCTTTTGTTTTCATAGTTCAAACATTACATCTCAACTTAGTAGTTCGGTCAAAATGCAGACAAGACACATAAAAACAAACTGCAAGAAGATCTAACAAAGTTCAGAATACACCTAAATCATTAATGTCACTATAACAACCCAATAATTTCTTATCAAATTTATTGGAAGAAAAACTCAACAATTCATTATACTATTTCTTCGAGACACGGAAGACAACAATTTAGCATCATGGTAAATAGTACAGCTTTACCTTGCATGGCCCATTCACGCGTTTCAGTATTGCTAACTCCCACCTCAGGCGTTGCAAAAGAAACTGTTCCACCTTCAACTGAATTCATGAAAACACCAAACAGTAGGCAAAAATTTCTTTTCCTTTTTCCGGATAAGTACAAAATACTAACCAAATATAAGGCCCCAAAACAAGTATATTTGTCAGAAACAAGGTGGCAGCCTAACAATTCAAGACTGACAATTACTGTTAAGTTAAATAGCAAAAGGAAAAGGAAAAGAAGGAAGACCCACTAATTGCAGTGCCCTTTTTGGAGTAAAAAGCAGAAGAAAGAAGTAGATACCCTTTGGAGAAGAAATGGAAGGCAGAAATGAGTGAGAGCTGCTGCTCTGTTGTGGAATTCTCAGTCTTCTCCCGCTATGTATTGCTGTTATTCGAACTGATGTTACCACTGTTGGGTTTCTTCTGGTTAAGCTGTGGAATGGCTTCGAATATTGAGGCACTGAACTTTGAACCATACCCTCCATGGCTAAGCTGTATCTGTTTGCCTAGCAAAAGGATAAGAGGTCTCGAATTCTCTTCTTGTCTGTGTAAGGATTAAGGAAGAACTTTGGGACTAATCTATAATTTCCAAAACTTATGCTCTTTTTTTCATGGGTGTGTTTAATCGAAGTTTTGACCAATATTGTTTCTTATCGGGCATGTCTATTTTGGTCCTTCAAATATAATACTTAGCATATTTAGTTCCTTAAGTATGCTAAAGTGGAGTATCTTTAGTCTCCTGACAGAGGTTTTGACCAATATTGTCTCTTATCTTTGAGAGTAGGTCTATTTTGGTCCCTCAAATATAACTCTGAGCATACTTAGTCCCTTAAGTATGCTAAAGTGGAGCACCTTTAGTCTCACTCACACAATATATTCAAAAACTAACACTATTACCCAACTCTGATTCATAAAGCAAATCTTCTGCTATAAAGCAAAATATTTCCTCTCATTTTATTGGATAACGCAAATTATCACTTTAATTCCTCATTT